TCTGGGTTTTCTTTTTGTATGTTTCAACCTCCAGCCAATAGTCTTGGCATGTATATTTATGTGTGTGTGTAAGTAGGTATGTTTTCGGTTGTGACCTCATCGGTTAGATAGTACATCTTTATTTAATTTTTTTGGTTCGTCTACCATTGTTTGTATGGTTATTCTCTTTCAGGTGATGACCTCTAGGTCCAGGTTTCACTTTTTAGAGGTTGTGCTGCCCAATATTTTTTCCTCACAAGTTTGGTTTAGCTAGTATGTTTCAGTGGGTAACTCGATGTATTAGGGTATCGAGTGCCAGTTACGCCCCCTATTTCGAGGCGTGATAAACTTGGTATCAGAGCAGGTCGTATCCCAGGGGGGTCCACAAGTCGTGTCTAGTAGAGTCTTATTTATGGGTGTGTTGTGCACCACACTTATAATCAAGAGGCTATAGGGCATTTAGGAATGGTTACATTTCATTAAACTAATAGATCGTGCTGTAGTGCAAAAGTATAAAAACATTTGAAATCTAAGTCGTGCTTTATGCTTCTTATCTAACAGGCTACACTCGCTCCGGATATGGTAGATCGAGAGATAGGTATGGATCCAAGGGAAGGTACTAGTCGTTCCCCACCAAGTTAAAGAGATAGAGTTCCCTCGGAGGTATAGGGTGGATCTCCAGTACCCCTAGTACCAGCCTCCCCGGCACCTATTGAATCCTGAGAAGATGCAGTACCCCCAGCCTTACCAGTTCCATTGGTACCTGAGGAAGCTACGGACACAAGACCTCCAGTACCTATTGTTTCTCCACCAGAGATCTCTGGGGAGCAGGGGATGAGAGAGGCAGTTCAATTGCTGACTAGGATGATTTCTATTCATGAGCGACAACTGGAGTCAGGAGTAGATATTCAAAGAGACCGGTCGCAAAGTTTGAAGGTATGAGAGTTTCTTCATTTGGCCCCTCCGTTATTTACAGGATCTAGTCTTACTGAGGATCCCCAGGACTTTATAGACCATATATATAGAGTATTGAGGGTGATGTATGCCTCCGTCACAAAGGCTGTAGAGTTGGCTTCTTTTCGGCTACGTGATGTAGCCATCATTTGGTATGAGGCATGGGAGAGATCTAGAGGACATGATGCTCTGCCAGCAGAGTGGGAGGACTTCTCTGAGGCCTTCCTTGCCCACTATTTGCCATGGGAAGTTTGAGAGGCCCGTCTTGACCAGTTTATCAATCTGAAGCAAGGAACCATGAGTATGAGGGATTATAGCCACAAGTTTAATTCTTTGGCAAGATATGCACCAGATATTATACGTACCATGAGAGCCAGAGTTCATCGTTATGTTGATGATTTGGAAGATCATTTGATCAGAGATTGTAGGGTAGCATCCCTATCAGATGATGCAGATATTTCACACATACAGACTTTCGCTCAGACTACAGAGGACCTTTCTAAACGGATTTGTGATACCCGCAGAAATAGGGAGAAGAGTAAGAGGGCCCGTACTATGGGATGTTATAGGGAGCCACATGGTGATTTTAGGCCCCCTTTCCATCGATATCCACCTCGGCCAGTGGGTAGTGTCTCACCATAGGTGTAGGGACCGCGGTTTGATCGTTATAGTCAGTCAGGACCAGGTCAGAGCTCAGGACAGCCTGAAGGTCGTCGACAGGATCGTTTCGTACAGGTAAGACATCCCACTCCTTATTGTACACAGTGCGGTAAGCCGCACACTGGGCTGTGTAGATATGGTTCAGGTGCATGTTATCACTATGGGTAGACAGGACATTTTATTAGTCGATGCCCGAGGTTGAGCAGAGGTGATCTAGCTCAGCCTTTAGGATCCACAGCAACATCTTCACCCTCAGTTCGTGCCCTATGACTAGGACCACAATCTACTCAGGGTCATGGTAGAGGGAGAGGTGAAGGAGATACAGGTTCGAGCGGTGGTCAAAATTTCTTTATGCACTCACATGACGACAGGATTCAGAGGCATCCCCTGATGTTGTTATAGGTATATTGACGATATATTCTCAAGCTGTTTACGCATTGATAGACCCTGGCTCTATATTTTCATATATTACTCCATTTATTGCTAGTAAGATTGACATGAAATCTGAGTTGTTGCCACAACTAGTTGAGGTGTCTACACCGATTGGCGATTCTATTTTAGTTAGTCTTGTCTATCGGGGTTGTACCATATTAATTAATGATTGTCCAACCTCTGCTAATTTAGTTGAGTTGATTATGCTATATTTTGATGTTATCATGGGTATGGATTGGTTGGTAGCTTGCTATGCTAATATTGATTGTCATGCAAAGATAGTCCAATTTTACTTTCCAAGTGAGCCAGTCCTTGAGTGGAAGGGTAATGCAGCCACACCTAAGGGTAAGTTTATTTCATACCTTAGGGCTCGGAAGTTGATTGCTAAAGGTTGTATATACCATATGGTTTATGTACATGATATTGATAAGGAGCCCATGACTCTTCAGTCAATTCCTATCGTGAATGAATTTCCAATGGTATTCCCTGATGATCTTCCAGGAATTCCCCCAGAAAGGGAAATTGATTTCGCTATAGGCTTGCTTCCTGTACGCAACCTATATCGATTCCTCCCTATAGAATGGCACCTGCAAAACTAAGAGAATTGAAGGAACAACTGAAGGACTTGCTCGAAAAAGGCTTTATCAGGCCAAGTACTTCCCCATAGGGTGCCTAGTGCTCTTTGTTCGAAAGAAAGATGGATCCTTGCGGATGTGTATTGACTATAGACAACTAAATAAAGTCACTATAAAGAATAAATATCCTCTTCCATGCATTGATGACTTATTCGATCAGTTACAAGGTGCCAAATGCTTTTCCAAGATTGACTTGTGGTCTGGTTACCATCAGTTGCGAGTCAGGGAAGTTGATATCCCAAAAACAACATTTAGGATGAGGTATGGCCATTTTGAGTTCCTTGTCATGTCTTTCGGGCTTACAAATGCCCCAGCAGCCTTTATGGATCTTATGAATCGGGTCTTCAAACCATTTTTGGATGAATTTGTGATTGTGTTTATTGATGATATTCTTATATATTCACAATCGGAAGCAGAGCATGTAGACCACTTGCGAGCTGTAATGCAGAATCTCCAAGATTGCAGGTTATATGCTAAATTCTCTAAATGTGATTTTTGGCTTACCTCAGTAGCTTTTCTTGGTCATGTTATTACAAGTGAGGGTATTAAGGTCGATGGACAAAATATTGAAGAAATGATGACTTGGCCGAGGCCCTTGAATTCGACGGAGATTCACAGTTTTTTAGGCTTGGCGGGTATTACCGAAGGTTTGTGGAGGGATTCTCTTATATTTCTACACCACTGACAAAATTGACACATAAGGCAATGAAGTTTTAGTGGACCGGGCATGCGAGCAGACCTTTCATGAACTAAAAAAAGGCTTACCATTGCACCTGTCCAAACTTTCCAGATGGTAATGAGGGCTATGTTGTTTATTGTGATGCCTCAAGAATTGTCCTAGGTTGTATTCTTATGCAGCATGGTAAGGTTATTGCATACGCCTCTAGACAGTTGCGGAAGCATGAGCAGAATTATCCTACACACGATCTTGAGTTGGCTGCAGTTGTCTACCCTAAAAATTTGACGACATTATCTATACGGGGTTCATATAGATATGTTCACCGATCACCAGAGACTACAGTATTTACTTTAGCAGAGGGAGTTGAACCTACGACAAAGGAGATGGCTAGAATTACTAAAAGACTATGATGTTGACATTTTATATCATCCCGGCAAAGCTAATGTTGTTGTTGATGTGCTCAGCCGGAAGTCCATGGGTAGTCTAAGTCATTTTGAAGCTGATAAGGCTGGAATTACAAAAGACATTTGCCAGCTAGTTAATTAGCAAGTACACATGGTAGATGCAGGAGGCGGAGGTGTTGTCGTTAAGAATATGGCAGAATGTTCCTTTGTGACTGAAGTGAAAAGGCGGCAACATGAAGATCCTGAGCTTAGGAAATTGAGGGAAAAGATTCCACAACAGAAACACCCCTTATTTGAGCTAACTGGAGATGGAGTCCTTAGATACCAGGGTCGCTTATGTGTACCGGCAGTTGGGAAGCTCCGTACAAGTATTCTTTCAGAGGCCCATTATTCTAGATATGGATCTCACCCTGGAGCGACGAAGATGTATCAGGACCTTTGATAGATCTATTGGTGGAACGGCATGAAAAAGATATTGTGGAGATGGTAGCTGAATGTCCCAACTGTCAACAAGTTAAAGCAGAGCATCAGAGGCCTGGAGGCCTAACCCAGTATATTGAACTTCCATTATGGAAATGGGATATGATCAATATGGACTTCATCACTGGTTTGCCTCGCACTCCACGAAGGTTTGATTCTATTTGGGTAATTATCGATAGGCTGACAAAATCTGCTCATTTCTTGCCAGTTAGGATGACATTTTTAGCTGAAGATTATGCTAGGCTTTACATCCAGGAGATTGTTCGCCTTCACGGAGTTCCATTATCTATTATCTCAAATCGAGGAGCTCAATTTACAGCACAGTTTTGGAGATCATTTTAGAAAGGTCTAGGCACTCAGATAAATCTTAGTACCGCTTTTTATCCACAAACTGATGGACAGGCAAAACGTACTATTCAGACGGTTGAGGATATGTTACGTGCTTTTGTGTTGGATTTTAAAGGAAGTTGGGATCAACATCTAACTCTTATCGAGTTCGCTTATAATAACAGCTTTCAAGCTAGTATTCAGATGGCCCCTTACCAAGCATTATACGGGTGGAAGTGTAGGTCCACAATCAGTTGGTTTGAGCTCGGGGAAGTAGATTTGCTAGGTCCCAATCTAGTCCAACAAGCGATTGAAAAGGTTAAGCTTATTATAGATTGGCTTCATACAGTACAATGTCAACAGAAATCTTAAGCAAATGTTCACCGACGGAACTTAGCGTTTGAGGTAGAAGATTGGGTTTTCCTGAAAGTATCGCCTATGAAGGGAATCATGCGATTCGGAAAGAAAGGGAAGCTCAGTCCTAGGTACGTTGGACCATATAAGATTATTCGGAAGATTGGTATAGTGGCATACGAGTTTGATTTGCCTTCAGAATTGGAAGCAGTTCATCCTATATTTCATGTTTCTTTGTTGCGGAAGTGCATTGGAGATCCTTCACGTATTATGCCCATTGAAAATATTTGTATCGCTGAGGATTTATCTTATGCAGAGGTACCAATAGCGATTTTAGATCGGCAAGTAAGAAAGCTTCGAAATAAAGATGCAGCTTCTGTGAAAGTGTTATGGAGAAATAACAACGTTGAGGAAATGAGGAATGAGTACCCCCAACTGTTTACGACTTAAGGTGAGTCACATTTCGATTATTGGCAATTATTTCTTCACAACGACTTAGTTAGATTTTAAGTAGCTTGAATGTGAAATTTATATGTCTTTCTACGAGATAGCTATGCAAAGCTTAGTAGTTAAAATTTTCAGAATTTGACTTCAGGTTTGCGACGGTAACAAATATAGACTCGCAAATATAGTACTGTGAGAAAAAAAGAAAATACAACCAAGGAATTGTCTAGATCCATTCGCGAGCGAAAGTTCATAAGGGGGGAGAATGTAAGATTCCGTACTTTTTTCTCTAAGCGTGCATAATATATGTGGCGTAGTATGGCATGGTTATATGAGGTGTATATGACTTTGTATCGTACATTGGAGATTAAGATTGCAAGTAGGTGGAAATATCAAGGATCTAAACTAAAGTTTTAGGTCAAAGGGACACCTCAAACAAAGTTCATGATAAAAGAAATGGCTTGGGTAGAACTTCACCCGTTTGAAACATTTAACTTGTCCCATACCTTGTGGATAAGCCTATGAGTGTAAAACATGCTAAGAATAGTGTTTTATGAGGTATTATTATAGCTCAAGGGTCGTATGTTAAGTTCCGAAGTAAAGAAAATTAGTGAAACTAAAGTCGGCAAAAGTTATCGAAGTTTCTCTAATAATATTTTCTTAACTTTTGGTCAAATGGTTTGGATGTTTTCTCCCAATATACAAAGAGTTAGAAGACCTATCACCCATTAAATTGAAGGCCTACGAATCTAGCTTGCAACTCACAAAACCCCGTATACAACCAACATCGAAGTAAAAAGTTATGAGGGTTTTACTACGGACTGTCGGGGTAGAATCCGGGTCGGGTCAAAATGTGGTATGTCGGCTTACTCAACGTTTTAAGCCATGAAAACATTTCATTTTACTTCCAAACCAGAAAGAAAACTTAAGAGAGGGTTCCTATGGAGTACTTGCATGATGAAGATCAGTTTTTGACGATTTCTACCATTAAAGATTACCCCTGTTCCTAGAAACGCGATCTCTACACGTGGCAATCGTTTTCCCCTTCTATTAGCTGCGTTTGGAGAAAGTTTTTGAAGATATAAATTTGTAGTTATTGGTGTTTCTTCAAGGTTTAAACTTGTTTAACTAAGGTAATCATCTCGGGACTCTTTTATGATGGTTTTTATGAAGTTTTACGGACATTTCGTCAAGTTGAGGCCATTTGGCAAATCTGCCGATTTAAGAACAATTATGAACTGTTTATAGGTGTGTACCAGTTGTGTATATATAGTGTTTCCAAAGTTTAGGACGTAAGGAAAAACTTTCATGAAGAAGCTACGGCCATTCGAGGGTTCATTGAAAAGGTATGTTAAGGCGAAACTACGTCCCTCATTTTAGCACCACTCCTGGGAAATTCCTAAAACGCCGAATTTGATATTTTGCTATTATCTTACTAGAAAAACCTTCAGTGAAAGGCATTGGGATCTCAGCTGAATTATTTTCATGATTCTGTTATTTTGATATTTCACTCGTTCGGATAAATAGATTGTTCAACATGTACACGTCATTTTATCAGTTTCCTTGATTATATGTCCGCACGTATGAATTTGTATTCTTCCTTGGGTGATGTGAATTAAAATGTCACGCGAGACCCTTACTACTTGTAGCCAGCCCTCTTTCTCCACTAAGGTTATTATTAAAGAAAAACATTAAAGTAGCTCACGACCTTCAAAACTCTCAAATATAATTTAAATGTAAACTATTAGAACACTTGGTTTTTGAAATATTTCTTTTATAAATTATCTAGGAACCAAGTTAGGAACTAAGTAAGTCTCCTTAAACTTGTTATGAATATCAACAAGGTTAGGTTATCCTTCTAAAATTAGAGTTAACTTTTCAAGCTTATTTGGAAGAACATATCAAATTCCATGAGATTGTTATATGTTATACGAAAGTTATTATGGGGTTATGAGAACAAGACTACAAACGGGCCAAAAGTGGCAACATGACAACAGTAACTCATATGTGTTATAAATCCATGACATGACATGCTATACATTCTACTCTCGAGCTATAATCGGGAGGTATGGGGCCTATTGCCTATATTTGTACGTATGAGACACAGATGGCCACAAGTTGGCGAATTTGATGCCGGTTCGCTACTGGAAAGTACCACCATTGCTAGCATTTGGTTGGGTATGTCATGCATTTGTATCTATATATATATGTATTCACGACATACGATTATACGAGAATACCATGCATATTTAAGTAGTAGGGGCTAAAACGTCAGCTATGGAGATTATTTGGGTTTCAGTTTCAGGTGGTATCTCTATTACCCTTTTATAGTAAAATGTTTATGATTTTACTTTTTTCTTTACATACCAGTACATTTTTTATTCATACTGACGTCCCTTTGCCTGGGGACGCTGGTTTTTGTTTTGTGCGAGCAGGTATAGGCAGGGACTCTAATCGACCCACCAGCTAGGATTCAGGTTTAGCAGTGAGTTGGTAAGATCCATCTTATCCTGGAGCTATCAAAGGATGTTTACTTTTTTTGTACAGTTTGGGTATAGTCGGGGCCTTGTTCCAACAGTGCTTATGTCACTCATAGAGGCTATTGTGGACACAATATTCTGGGTTTTCTTTTTGTACGTTTCAACCTCTAGCCAAGTCTTGGCATGTATATTTATGTGTGTGTGTAAGTAGGTATGTTTTCGGTTGTGGCCTCGTTGGCTAGATAGTACATCTTTATTTAATTTTTTTCAGTTTGTCTACCATTGTTTGTATGGTTATTCTCTTTCAGGTCATGACCTCTTGGTCCAGGCTTCACTTTTTTGAGGTTGTGCTGCCCAATCATTTTGCCTCACAAGTTTGGTTTAGCTAGTATGTTTCAGTGGATAACTCGATGTATTAGGGTATCAAGTGCCAGTTACTCCCCCTATTTCGGGGCATGACATTTATATTCCACATGACCTTAATTTTTGAGTTTCGATTAAGAGTATTTTGAACAAGCATCTTTTTTCATAAATTGATTTTTGAGGTGTTAAAAGCGAGTTCAAGAGTAAGTTTTAAAGCATTTTTGAATTAAAGTTAAGGAAACTATATGATTTCCAAATGTTTCATTTTTATAGGAAGAAAGAGAGTATTAGTTTTGAGAAAAGTAAAAGAGTAAATCTAGGGTTTTATCCTTAGATTTGAATATTCTTAAGATGAGTTGATGTTGAGTTCTGAGTTCATGTGTTCCTGATTTTTGAATTTTTATTCCTAATTATTGAATTATCGTATATAGTGTATTGAGATTATTGAGTTATTTATTCATTTATTGAATTCAGCATGAACCCTACTGTTGAGTTAAATTTGAGAATCTTTTCAAAATAAATGTTTTGTCTTTAAATTAATTTATAAGGAGAGCAACAAATGAGCTTGAAAAAGAGTTTTCATATATGAATTGAGTAAGAGTATAAGGGAACTAAGTATTCCCAAATATATCACTTTTTACATTGGGAAAAGATAAACTTTGATTTCTAAATGAGTTTATGAGTTTAGAGATATTTCAGATCAATTACCTCTTTTAAGAGAATAGTTTGAGAAATTATCTCAAACTAAAGAAAGAGTATGATTTAGACTTTTGAGCATGAGTATATATATTATTGGGAGTAGTATTGAACACCGATATGAGGATGAGTTCAGACAACTCAAAATCCTCATAAACCTTGTCTTGCCAACATGGGTACATGATCATACTCTTTACATGAATCCTTATAACTTAGTGGATCTAATTAGCTGAGAGGTTCTATACCCTGGCACGATATATGACAGTTCTGGCAGCGTGGGCGAGATGTTATATCATCACGTAGCTCATAGTGATGGTTGTCGATTGGAGAGTCTAACAAATAAAGTTAAAAGTGTATTTTTATCATATCACTTAATATGTTGAGTTCAGAGATGAATAAGTATTTATAAAATTTAAATGATTTCACTCATTTATTTCTTTACATTAAATTGGGTATATATTTATATCTATTACAGCCCTTTCAATTAAGTTATATTTTTATCCAGTTATCTTACATACCCGTACATTCAATGTATTGATGTCATTCGACTTGCGTATTTTATGATACAGATTCAGGTACTTAGGATCCTCAACAGGAGTTCCGTTGAGATAACTTCATCTGCTCGTTAGCTTTTGAGTGAGGCCTCTTTGCTTCTAGAGGACTCTATCGTTTATGAGTTTTTAGTAGTAGTTTCTTGAGGTGTCTTGGGTCTTCTCCCGACACTCGTATTTATACAGTAGAGGCTTCATAGATAAATAGTTTTAGAGAGTCTTTCGGTTTCAGGTGTTTTATTTAAAATTTATGTTTTATACTCAATATATTCAAATAGTATTGAGATTCAGTATATTGTTGTTAAACATTTCTTTCAGTTTTATCTTTGTGTATGCGTAAGTTAATATTTCGAGTGTAGGAAGCTAGGATGAGGGTTCTCTTGGAGACCAACAATTGTTCTCGAGTGCCGGCCGCGTCTAGAGTGTAGGCTGGGGTCGTTACAGATCTAGTCTAGATAGGTACTAGATCTTATAATAGAGAACATACATAATATAAAATAAATACACAAGAGAGATACAACTATCACTTGAGAGGTGGTCTTCTCTAATTTATCGATTAGCTTTTCATCTCTTTTCCGATGGTTGGTGCTCCAAGCATGTAAGTTTTGTATGCCTTTTCATTATCTAGGTAACACACCAGAAAATTTTGAGCTAAGACTTGAACCATCCTTCGTTGTGAGTAGGATTTTATTGAGGAATTAAAATTTCTTAAGTGTTAAGTTCACTAGATGTAGCACCTTGAGTTCGAAAAAGAACTAAATTGGAAATAGCAAAATCTGAAATTTTGCAAGATAAGCTAAGTATGAGTTTCGGGTTGAATTCAAACAATCATAACTCCTAGCTCAGGATGAGATAGGTGTTCTACCAGATACCATAGGAAATATCTTTGAATTATCTTTCAAACGCCACCGAGTTT